TATATATAATTTAACATTTAAATTTAACATTTAGTAAAAATTAGCAAAATGTAAGAACAGTGAGCTAAATAATAAAAATGTTAGTGGAAAATTTTAACAAGTGACATTTTTAAATGTTTCATTTTACACTTGGCACCCCATACAAAGGGAACACCTGAAAGTAAGTAGAGTCAGTTTTCAGTATTCATTTTTTTATGTATTTTTGTTCATTTAAATAAATAAAATAATAACACTAAGTGCGTGTACATGACTCAGGTTGCCATGCATTAAAAATTGAGACCTAATCTTCCAAATCTATCATATTTTAAATCTTTAACTTAAATTCTCTTCCTCCACCCAGCTCCCTGTCCACTGTTGTCCTTCCTTCCTTTCGTGGACTGTAACAATGGAGTTCTTATGGTTACCTGGACCAACAACGTGCCGGGGGTTGTTTACACAGTGAATGCAGCTGATGCTGCAGGTCGCGTGCATAACTGCAGTGGCACAAACAGCTGTAATATTAGGACACTTAACTGTGGGACGGGGTACAACATCACCATCACACCGTCCAGGAATAACTGCACTGGCAAAACCAGCCCTGCAAAACTAATCACAACAGGTAGGTAGATGTAGCATTTGTATGAAAACATGGCTCTTAGAATTAAAAAAAGATGGTATAACTAAATTATAATCTTTTATTGTCAGTTCCCTGTGTACCTTATCTGACGAATGTGGAGATGGACTGCCTGTCAAACTCAGCGTGGGCCGTATTTAATGACACGGCTGGGGCCACGCAATACATCATCACAGCGACAAGCAGACAGGGCGTCATCCAGACTTTTAGCTGTAACATTACAATAGGCGGGACGTGTTCTCTGCCACAGCTGCCGTGCAGCCAGAACCTCACCTTCACCGTGCAGGCCCAGGACCAGCAGTGCACCAGTGCAAAGAGCAACGCTGTGCAAACCGAAACAGGTGAATAAAAATATACAGGGTGCTTTTAATGTAAATGAAAAAATCTAAATGCTAAAAACAAAAGGGCACAAAGTGAGTTCAAGGTTTGCTTTATATTGACAGGCACAGCTAGGCAGTGGATGTTGTCTGATGTTTCTTTTGGTTTTATTTTTTACTTTTGGTTAAAAATGTAAGATATTTGACACAAAATTCTGACATCAACATAATTTGGGTTACAATTTGCAAATTTGCTCTATTTGTTTGTTGTATTTTAACAGAATATTAGTTATATTCTGAATGATTTTCATGAAAAAATACACTTAGCACAAAAATTAAGGACATTTGTGTTTGGTAGATTATTTCTTTGGCAATGAAACTTACACCGGGCACCTGGTTGGCAGCGCCTGGTGGTACCAGAAGCTCAAAACAAGAGTCAATAACAGCAAAATAAGCTGTTTGGCAGAGAAGATTTGACAAATATTTCATGTGTCCAACCCCACATACTCAGCTCTACTGCTCAACCCACAAATGCATGTTCCTTACAAATGTGGCAGCATTTAAAAGAAAAAATTAACAGGCTTTAACGATATAAAATTTATTGCCAAGAAGCATTGTTACAATAAAGAAGAAATCAACCAAACACACATTTCCTGACCTTTTGTGCTAAGAAATTGTAGGACAAAGTACCCTGCACCATTTGATTTTAAAAACTAGGTCCTCCAAACATTCAAATGATGGTTAGCTGGTTTGCAGAAAGATTTTATTAAAAGACATAACCTTTCACTGAAAACAAACATTTTTGAACAAACTAAACTATTTGCATATTTAATGGTCGTCAGAAGCAATTTAGTATTCAGAGTCTGGTCCAAGAGCATGCCAATAGTTTGAACAGTTTATATACTGACTTTATTGCAGAAAAATGTTATTGCTTAGAATAAAGCACCAATGAAGGTACTGAATTTTAGAGCAATTTAAGTTATTGTACAAGAAGGCGATGATTGTTCAAAACTATACCCTCAAGTGTTTGTTTTCTCCTCAGCTCCATGCCCGCCTCAGAATGTAACAGAAACCATAAGCTGCAACGATGGAACCATGACAATCACGTGGTCGCCTGTCCCCGGGGCGATAACGTACACAGCACTGCTGGAATCCCTGAGCAACGGCTTGTCCAGCTGCTGCAACACATCTGGAACCGTCTGTAACATGAAAAACTTGCCGTGTGGAGAAATGTACAATCTGTATGTCATAGCCAAGGGGCGGACCTGCAACAGCTTAGAGAGTGACAGCTTTGTCACCAAAACATGTAAAGGATGCTGTTTTTACTTTGTTTCTTTATCAGAACCAAATGAAATACCATACAATACCATAGATAAATGAAGTTTTTATGTAAAAAAAAATGACATGATATTTTTTCTCTCAGTGGCGTGTGTTCCTGGTAAGCTCAAAGCCAACATRAGCTGCAGTGACAATGTGGCTTCCATGTCTTGGGCCAGCAGTATGGGTGGACAGCTCTACACCGTGACAGCCGTGGGTCCCAACGGCCTGAAGGACGGGTGCAGTACGCCTGATACTACGTGTGAACTGTCCAATCTGCAGTGTGGACAGTACTACACAGCCACTGTGACTGCAGGGGACATGCGATGCCAGAGCCAATCAAGCAACAGTGTAAAAATCAAGACAGGTACCTTTGACAAAAATAGCATTATTTAGAGTCACATTCCCTAAATGAGTCTCAAATTATCTGCTTCTGTCTGAAAAATGTGTAGCAAATTGACTCCCTTTACCTCTAAATCAAGAAATTAAACAAATCATACCTAAATGAAAGCCTTTCTCCGTGTTTTCTGAACAGTACCATGCACTCCTAGTAGTACCTCCTCCAAAATGAACTGCAATGCCGATTCTCTGATTGTTTCCTGGTCTGAGAGCACCGGAGCTGATTCCTACATCGCCACCTTTTGGGACAGCAGTGGCCAGACAACCACTTGTCAGGGCACAACCGAGGGCTCGTGCAATGTGACAGGACTTGGCTGCGGTCAGGTCTACCGCGTCTCTGTCGTCTCCTCTGATGGGTACTGTCAAAGCCCGCCCACGCCTGAAGTCAATACACCTTCAGGTAGATATGAAAATAAACCAATGGAGATAATCAAGAGATAAAAGAGACCATCTTAAATTGAACGACTCAGTGTCTAATGCCATGTCTAAAACGAGTGATTTGTATTTTCTATCCATCTCTCAGTTCCATGTAAAGCAAGACTGATCAAGGCAAACATTAACTGCTACACAAASACAGCCCAGGTGTCGTGGTACCCGAGCGATGGAGGTTTGATGTACTCGGTATTGGCCACCACAGCATCAGGCCAGAATGTCACGTGTAAGACCAACACGACCTCCTGCGATCTAGAAGGGCTGCTCTGTGGTCAGAGCTACTCTGTGTCTGTGAAATCTATGGGAGAGACCTGCAGCAGCGTCGCTAACATGGTCGGAGCACTGATCACAGGTAAGCAGTTCAGGCTCTSAGAGCTGTATGCGTGTGTGTGTGTGTTTTAAGAACTATTACCAAATAAACTAAAAATCCTAAAATTTTGAAACAAAACTAAAAAGTTTATTAAAATCTTCAAGTAGAGGTCTGTGCTGTACATGCTGTCCTGTGGGCAGAGATAGCCCTACCCGTGATTGGTGGAGATCTTGATGTCAGCGAAGATGGCCCACCCAGTGATTGCTGGAGGTGTTGATATGGGCGGAGATGACCCTACCTATGATTGGCGGAGGTCTTAGTGTGGGTGTAGTTGTTGGTCCTAATCGTGAGTGGAGTTGGTGTGTAGGCAGAGGTTGTCCTAAGCATGATTGTTCGAAATGACTTGTTTTGTGAGTCAACTTAAAAGAAGTAATGATAATAGTAAAATAATAAGATCTATTGGCTGTACATGTACATTTTAAAACAGAACAATGACTCAAATAAAAATTATTGTGAACATGTAAACATAATTTATTGACTTCAAATGTCATGCGGCTAGCACCTAAGTGTCTCAAGTTATGACTAATATTCATATTGATTGTTAGCGACCTTTTTATGGGCTGGTTAGGGATGTTTTGAGCCAGCCAAATTGTTACACGCCCCTCCACGTGTACGGTGTTCAAATTTCATGCTTTCTCAAGTTATGACTAAAACTCATCTCTATATTTAAAACATATAGGTGCTTCCTGCCTGATTCAACCAAGCTACTCCCCTCTACTTCAAACCCCATTGTCAGTCTGACCAATCACGTCTTGGACCAACTATGTCCAAAAAATAATAAACTCCTACTTAGTGACTGCAAACACCCCTTCTCAAAATCTCTGATGATGCCATTTGACCATTTTTATTTAAAGCCAGGTTAATATTTTCTAAGAGTTCAGTATTTTTCAGTTTTATATTTACGCACGTCTTCATCCTTTTCTACAGAGCCTTGCATCCCAGTAGACATCACCACACACTACTTCATGTCAGTCGGCCAGGTGGAGTGGGATGTGACCACTGGCGCTGACTACTACACTGTTCGTGGAGAAACAGACCAGGGCCTCACAGCCTCCTGCAACACCAGCCTCACCTCCTGCACTTTACTCAACTTGAACTGTGGACAGACGTACAACATCACAGTCACGGCACACAACCAGGCGTGCAAGGACGTTTCTGTCTCTACTGAAGTTGGAACAATTATGACAGGTGAGAAAAATTACTCTTATAAAGATAATGGTCATAGACAAAAACTTTTGATAACATTTTTTCTTGCTTTTATTGTAAATCTAGTTATATTGAGAAAAATACTGAGAGCTTTATTCTAAAGGTGAGAATAAAATGGCATTAGAGGACCAGCACTATGGGCACTGGGTGTCTTGCTATTTGAAAGATAGGAAACAGTTTGTACAAATAAATGATGTAAGATCTGAACTGTGTAACATCACATGTGGAGTTCCTCAGGGTTCTGTTTTTGGACCAAAGTTATTTATTTCATTATGTGAATGACTTGGTAAATTGATCAATTTGGATAAAACTAAATACATGATATTCATGGAAAGAGAACTGTCGATATCCCATTTAGAGTTGATGGTGTTGAGATTTGTAGAGTCAGTGAGGCGATGTTTTTGGGTGTTATCATTAATAAAAGGCTGACATGGAAATCTCATATAAATAATTTAAGAATAAAAATAGCTAAATCTATTGCAGTACTATACAAAGTAAGGGAGTTATTCAATGATAAAGCTCTGTATATGGTGTAAAATGCAAAAAAGTTTACTGTATATAGAATTTGGTTTTTCAGACTCCAGTAAAAGAACATATGAGGTTATATGATGGAATAAAAGTCTATAGTTTTGTTCACTCAGTCACGTTTTGCTTCTTTTCAGAATGTAGCCAACGTGCAAACGAATCAATGTAGATAATGCACATTTTTAATTCTTAGCAGTTTTTATGCTTCATACTTTGTATAAAGTCTTACATTAGTGTCTGCGTTACATCAGACCTTATATTCTGTCTTTTTATTGTCTGTCTTTCTGCAATCAGAACCTTGTCCGCCTAACAACGTGGGAACATATGTGAAGTGTGGAGCGGGTCAGGGAACCATATCATGGGAGCCCAGCAGGGGCGCTGAGGCCTATGAGGTAAAACTGCTGGGAACTGATGGCCACTCACTGACCTGCTCCAGTAATGATACCTTCTGCAGCGTAAAAGGCCTCCACTGTGGGATCGCCTACACCACCACTGTCATTGCTACGGGGGAAACGCTGGCCGGCAAGCCTTCCACACCCGTACTGCTGGTTTCAGGTACTGTAGAACATACAAAAGCCAAAACCTGACTGAAAATTTTGATTTGACGCTACATTATTTGAAGATTTTTTTCCAGTTGTGTAACATCGCCTTCTCCGTCTTTAGCTCCTTGTGTAGCCAGCAATGTGGTGGTCAACCTGAACTGCCACAACAACTCAGCTGACGTCTCGTGGAGCTCAGCCCATGGAGCCAACTCCTACAAGGTGACTGCTGAGTCAGCAGATGGCTTCCGGTCTTTGTGTGAAACGAATGGGAACCAGTGTACCTTGACAAAGCTGCAGTGCGGTCAGATGTACAACGTCATCATGACAAGCGTCAGTGACAACTGCCAGATCGATACACAAACTAATCTTACCTTCAACTCACGTAAGTCAAGAAAGACTTCATCTAAAGCTGTTGTTTTACTTTCACAACCAGAATTCCCCCGTGTTATTATTTTGTAATGCCTGAACTTGTTGTCCAGGCCCCTGTCAGCTGTTGAACGTTGAAGTGGACCTAAAGTGTGGCACAAGAACCGCCAACTTGTTCTGGAATGACGAAAAAGGGGTGGAGCTCTACGTGGCTACTGCCACCTCCAGCATGGGAATAACTCTGCAGTGCAACTCTACCAACGTCACCTGCGGTTTCCCTTACTTGAAATGTGGGGAAACGTACCAGTTCTCTGTAACTGCATACAGGGACGCATGTTACAGTGAGATCAGCAACATTGTGGAGATTCAGACAGGTAGTACTTTAATGTTGGCATACTATTTTGTTTTAGTTCAGGTTCTGCTTTTTAATTTTGGAGAACCATTAGAAGCATTGTTGAAAAAAATACTTATAAAACCATTTCAATGAATTGGCGATATCGAAAAAAACCAATTACGATTATATGTGGAATTTATCTGATAACGATTTATAGGACGATAATTGTACTTGCATGTTTTTGAATAATTACTTACAGTGTGTTCCAAAACTATACGTACAAACTATTAAGTTAAACTATATAAGTGCTAAATACTGTTCTGGGACAGTTTTACTGATGATTAACATGATTTTGCCCAACAAAAAAAAAAAGCAGAAAACCAAAAACCAAAAAAATGATGTTTATTTATCTTTCAGAACCATGCCAGCCAACTGGTCTGATGGTCAGTGGATCRTGCAACAATGACACCATTGTCTTGGACTGGCCTGAGGCTAAAGGCGCATCRTTTTATGAGGTGACCATCAGTGGACACCTGGGATACACCGCATCTTTCCAGACCAATGATACAATAATAGAAACTGTTCTGCCTTGTGGACAAATGTTCAATTTAACTGWACAAGCCAAAGATGGTCGATGTGGCAGCACCGTCAGCTCATCTGAACRATACAAGTCAGGTACATGGCTCATTTATATTTTTTCCTTATGCCATTTTACATACAGTGGTGATTCATCAATTTCATATTTCCTCAGGTCCCTGTGTCCCAATGAATGTGCAGAGCATCACACACTGTGAAGACAGGCTGGGCTCAGTCAGCTGGTCCATGAGCGCAGAGGCAGAAMGGTATATGGCCATTGCGATTGGAGACGATGGCCACACCCATGGGTGCATAACAAATAGTACTATCTGCACCTGGAATGACCTACRCTGCGGTGAAGTGTACACCGTCAACGTCATTGCATATGAATACTCGTGCACCAGCGTGCCAAGCAACAGCACAACAATTCGGATGGGTAAGCAAACTTTTAGGAAGCATATCTCCACCTGCAACTAATGTTAAACTGCTGACACCAGAACCAATTTTTTAAACTTGTTTTACTTGGATTAAACTGAAATAATTACCTAATTTATTAGTATGAATGTTTAACATCCGCTTTCTCATTTTAGCACCTTGTATACCACAACATTTGAAATCATCTTTTAACTGCACCACGAAGATGACCATTGTTTTGTTCCTTAAAAAGTATTTCTCAAACATTATAAAGTGCTTTATGAAGCAGACAAATAAGTAACTCAATGAAATTTTTATTTTTTTTTAAAGGTGGCCTCACTGAGCTGGAATGCAAGTGAAGCTGCTGAGTTTTACATTGTGACTGCGCAAACCAACAGTGGCCACAAAGTGCAGCTCAGCACCAACGATACGTGGACTTACATCTCTGAGTTCCGGTGTGGTCAGGAGTACTTCCTGTCTGTTCAGGCAGTAGACTCCGTATGTACAAGTCAACCCAGTCAGGCTTCATCCCTTTTGTCAGGTACAATTTCAAATGCATACCTCTAAATAATGCACCCCCAACCCCCAGAGTTMACTCTTCCAAATTTAAAATTATTTATACACAATTTGAATACAGTTCTCTTCATCAGGACTTAGTGATTCATTAACATGTTTCTCTTTACGTCCCTCAGTGCCATGTAAGCCCACTAATGTCTCCAGCACCAAAAACTGCTTTACCAACATCRCTAGGATGTCGTGGACCCGCTCAGCTGGGGCCATCTTCTACACTGCCACAGTAACGACAAAAGGTGGTCAATCGTTTAACTGCACATCTGTCAGCGAGCAGTGCGCCATTTCCACWGTCCCCTGTGGACAGAACAACACAGTGACCGTCGTCGCCTCCAACACAATCTGTAACTCTGAACTCAGTGAGGTTAATATACTGCAGTCAGGTGAGGTATTAGGTTTCAAATTCTCATTTGAATATATGACAAAATTCAAAAATGCAATTTTTGACTTGTTGAAAATTCATATTTTAACAACTAAACTATCTGCAATTTACCTCTTAAAAAAAATTTAGCTCCGTGTATTCCTACTGACGTGAAAGCAACCGTGAACTGCTCCAACAATCAGGCAGTTGTGTCCTGGAGTGCCAGCAGAGGGGCTCTGTCTTACAAAGTGTCAGCATTGAGTACTCAGGGAGCTCAGTCCACCTGTGAGACTGGACTCACCAAGTGTACTTTGACCAACCTCAGCTGTGGACAAGAATATTCTGTGCAGGTGGTACCAGTGGATAATGTCTGCTCAGGTTTGCCAAGYCCACCARTTCTGTTCAAATCAGGTAACTATTGGTTTTGCATGATGTGTGTTCATGTGTGACTTGTTATGTTTAAGCATTGGTTTAACAAGCAATTCTTTAATGGCGTCTTTTAGTTCCCTGCACACCCAACATTGGCTCTGTGGTTTTGGACTGCGGCAYCAACACTGCCCTTCTGGACTGGATGTAYGCTGAGGGGGCCCTGAACTACACTGCAACAGCAAAGTCCTCCAGTGGTGATGTTTCAACCTGCACCACCAATGGCACCAATTGCGAGCTGCAGAATCTGCAGTGCGGAAGAATCTATAATGTGACCACAGTGGCCTCAAATGAGCAGTGCAGCAGTCCACCTAGYGCTAAGCTGCAAGTGRAATCWGGTGAGTACACAAAAGGAAACAAATTCAATTTTTTATGACAACAATTTGAAATGTATCACTCTGTACCGCATTAAATCTTATGAACGAGTTTGGTATCATCTGTGTTTCACTTAACCACATATATGGTCAATTTTATTACCCATTGAGTCACTTTTCACATTGTTTTTATCTTTCTCCAGTGCCTTGTCCTCCTGAAAATGTTGTGTTTGAGCTGGACTGTGGCAGTAACACAGCACAGGTGGATTGGCAGCCCAGCAGGGGGGCTGAACACTACATCGTCCAAGGCTTCGGTGTGGAAGAGGGAGAAACCAGTTGCGTGACGGACTCCCAGGCCTGCGTCCTGCCAGACCTCAAGTGTGGCTTCACCTACAACATCAGTGTGATCGCTGTCAACAGCGTGTGCAACGTGTCTCAAAGCGATGTTGGACAACTTAAAGCAGGTAAGAACCAAARTGAAGACTGTAGTTGGATGAAAYGTTGGATGGAACTCTATTAGGAAAAGCACTGTTTTCCAGAATTACAATGTTGTTGTTTTTGTCAATGCATGAATGATTATTACATATATTAATGATTATTGGAGGTGGAATTTAATGCAAAGCTGACATTTCTTCCCGTGTTCTTGTAGTACCCTGTGTACCAGATCAGGTGAAAACCCGTGTGGATTGTAAGTCCGGTGGGGTGATGGTCTCCTGGGGGCCGAGTCAAGGAGCCCTGTCTTATACCGCAGTTGCTCAGGGCAGAGCAGGCTATGCTCCATCGTGCATCAGCAATGAAACAACTTGCCTGCTAAATGACCTGCTATGTGGCTTCAACTACTCCATCACCGTTGTTGCTTCTGATGACATGTGTAGCAGTGCTGTGACGCCAGCTGTGCACATTGCCACAGGTAAAATCAAGAGCAGATTTAATTTATCACCAGATGATGTCAAACATTTGTATTTTAGTCACTAAATATAACCCCTTTCTATCCTTTCTACTTGTAGTGCCATGCGTACCGCAGAAAGTAGCAGCAAAGATGACGTGTAAGAACAACACGGGTGTGGTTTCATGGCAAGGTGTGGGTGACGTGGCCTCCTATAAGGTGCAGGCTTTCGGCCCTGATGGTCACAAAATCGACTGCAACAGCACTAAAAGCAGCTGTGAGCTGCCCGGCATGCATTGCGGCCAGCTCTACAACCTAACAGTCACAGCTCAGGATGGACGCTGCGATAACAGCAAGACCTACCTCACGCTGCAGTCTGGTAAACGTTTGCTCTGATTCTACAACCCTAGTTCCAATGAAGTTGTGATGTTGTGTAAAACACAAACAGAAACAGAATACGATGGTTTGCAAATCCTTTATAATCTACATTCAACTGAATACAAAGACAAAATGTGTAATGTTCTAACAGCTACAATATAGTTTTTGTTTTGCAAATATTCCCTCATTTTGATTTGATGCCTGCAACACGTACCGAAAAAGCTGAGACGGGCATGTTTTGCCACTCTTACATCACTTTGCCTTTTAACAACATTCAATAAGCGTTCGGGAACTGAGGACACTAAAGCTTGGTTTATACTTCGAGGCGCACGTCTCGTCCCCCCTGGTGAGTGACAAAAAAATTGCACAACTTACGTCTGCTCTCCCGCTGCTATCCTCTGTTGACGGCCATCTTGTGCATTGCTCCCAGTCAGAACTGTGAGATGCGGACTTCGCAGCTCGGAGTGTGTGACTGGTTTGAACTTCGTTGGTGTGTTTGTTCATGAGG